GGGGGAGACAGCGCTGGCTCTGGCAGCAGCGTTCAGCTCCTGCCTCCTGGCTTCCAGGGAAGCTCGAGCTGCCTGGAACTGGCCCCAAGCATTGCCTGCCCCTGCATCCGTCAGCTGGAGAGCAGCAACGGGTGATGTCCGAGCGAGCCAAGTGGTATGGATTGGCCGGATGGTGTTTCCACCAGGATTTCCTTGCCCTGCTGGCAAGGCTCATCCGTACGCTGCTTTGAGGCACCTGGCTGTGCTTCTGCCTTGCACCCCGTGCCCCCTGTTGTGAACCTCTTCTTCTTCCCACGGCCCCAGCTGGCCTCTCTCTGCCCCATCTGCCCACACGCTGCCAGAGCTGAGCTGCTGTGCACATGAGGCCGCTTACGTCTCTGCCTCACAGGAGCGTTGGGCAGTGGGGCGGGAGGGCAGAGTCTGCATCTCAACCCGGGATCGTCTCCCTGGTGCTGTTTCGTGCTTTCATGGGGGAATGGGATCCCTGGGAAGGACTTGGTGAGGTCAGGCTGACTGAGGAATGGGGAGGTGTGTCGAAAGAGAGGAACCCTGCTTGCTGCTGGAGCTCCCGAAGCTTCCTGCCCTTTCCAGTCCACGTGGTAATGCTGCGAAGGTTTGCCAAGGGCTGTGTCAGTGCCACTGGCAGGGGAGCGCAGTGGAGTGGCACTGGAAGGAGGGCTGCGTTTGGGAGGGCGGCGTGCTGAAGGTTGGCTCTGAGGCTGGAGGGGAGCAGCGGCAGGGGAAGCAGCGCCGGGGCAGGGGCTGTGGGGTCTCGCACGTGGGGGCTCTGCTTCCGGAGTGCCAAAAGTTTGCACAGTCCCAGCGGGGAGGGGCATATCAGCTGCACACCAGGTCATGCCCCTTCTCTCTCTGCGGCACAGGTCCTTTGTTTCAGTCTCCCGGTTGGAGGGATCAAGGCTCCTTTAACTGTTTCTTCCGCTGCTTCTGCTGCTGGGGTGCTCGCCCCTCTGTCCACCCTGCTCCTCTCCTTTCCAAGCAGAGCTGGCTGCCCCTGCACACCCTCTGGCAGGGGCTGTGCGCTAGAGACGATGGCCATGCCGCTCCAGCACTGGCCTAGAGGGCCGGGAGGTGCAGTCCAAGCCCTGTCTCCGTGCCGTGTGTGCTGCCTTTTGGCCTCCCGTCAGCGTGGTGGGTGACTGGTTTGCGGTGGCAGCGCCTGTGCTCTGCGATTCTGAGTCAGGCAGGGGGAAGCAGCGGGCAGTTATTCTGCAGTGAGGAAGGGGAGGCTGAGAGCAGAGCAACTGGAGCCTTGAGCTAGATCTGACTTGGCTCCCCAAAACTGTGCTGCTGACTGCGGGAGGTCTGGCCGTGGGAGCATTTTCATGGCCTTCGGTTTCTGCACCTTTGGGTTGTTTTTTCAAGGATTTCCCTTCACGCAGCAGGGCAGGATGCTTTCTTTACCTCCTCCTGTGTCTCTCTGTGTTGCTAACTGGGCCTGGCCTTGTCCAGTCTGCTGGAAATTGCCGTGTTCCAGAGTAATTATTAAGTTGTTCCTTGCTGTAGGCAGAGCTGTTAATGTGTTGAACAGGCGGAGAGCTGAGACAGACAAAGCCTAGGTGTGCGGAACAAAACTGGCACGTCCTTCCTGTGCTTTGCAAGAAGAAGTAGGTGCCAAACTACTTGCCTGGTTCGGGACCTAAGTGAAGTGACCAGTTCGCACAGCAGCAGCTTGCCAGGACAGCCTGGAGCAAAACATTACCTTGTGAGATCTGGGTCTGTGCCCGGGCTCGAGGCTGGCACCTCCCGTAGCCAAAGCTGCAGGAGGTGTTTTCACAGAGCAGATCCTGGCAGGCTTTTTACAGGGACATGTACTGACGCTGGGGGAAGCAGCGTCTTGTCAGAAAGGTAGGCACCAGTTTATGCAAATGGCGCTCCCTCCCTGGGCTCTGACTGACGGTGTTACACCGTGCTGGAGTTGCTGGCCCTGGGGCGGTGCTCAGGCCACAGAGCACTGCTGTGACCTGTCTCTTGAGATACTGCGGCACTCTGAAATTGCTGCCCTCCCACTGCTTGAATTAAACAATTGTGCTACAGCATCTTAGGCAGGCGCAGAGCTTTGTTCCTAAAGGAGAAAACAGACCAATATCCCCAAGCAGGCTATGGGGGGTGGGGTTGGTGTCGCCATGCAGTACGGTGGATCCAGAGTAAGGTCAGAGTGCTGTGGTTCTGCACCACATCCCTGCTGTGGCCCTTCACCGGGTCATCTCGTCGGGAGGAGCAGTGACTTGTACCTCCAACGTGAAAAGGAGCAAAGATTCTCAGCTGTAGCTCCGTATCACAAAGACTGGGGATAGGTGATGATTGCTCTGCACTCTGATATGGGCCTGCCCTTTCTGGAAGATCGTGGAGGTCTCGTTGCTTGCCATCTCTTTGCAGGGCAGCGAAAGAGCAGGGCCTTTAGCTAGTTTTACTCTTACATGATGTGGTGGTCCTGCCCAGCCATAAAAGAGCAGAGAAGCCCGTTGTTTTGAGGGCTGTAGAGTGGCAGACAGGCAGGATCTTCTGCCTGGGTGCTTGGCCAGTTTTGGACTGCTTCAGTTCCCTCAGCATGTGCGCTGCTGGGCTGATGGCAACAAATGCTCTGTTTGGGGTGCTGCAGCCACTGGTCGGTAACCTGGGGAGCGGTTTGAGTCCTCTGCTTGGAAGAACAAGGCTGGTGCATGCTTAAATTACCTAAAGGTAGTTGAAGTCCATGGGTGATGTGGGGCAGCAGGAGGGGTAGTTGCCCTGCAGACCCCTTCCGTGATACCTGTGGCTGTGACCGTGGTGACCAGTGCGCGATCTCTTCTGGGCTCTGCGGGAAGAGCACTGGCACCAAGGACTGCTGGCAGCCTGGCTGGGCGCTCGGAGCTTTGCGTTTCTGCACAGAGCCAAGTCTGGTGGCTGGGGGTCTGACCATGAAGAGGGAGGCTGGGCTGGGCGTTGCAGAAAGGAGAAATGTTGGGTGGAGACTTTGCTTGGCTGAGAAGGGACGTATGCTGCCAGGGAGGTGTGGTGGCTGGCTGTCACTTGTCACCACCTTCTCCAGCACAACTGAGAACAGCATCTCTGGGTGACCCGCTCCGTCTCCTTTACACCCCCCCTGGCCCTAGAAAAGATGGAAATCCCCAATGGGACAGGCGTGACCATGGATGTTGGGCCCCTCTGTGCCTAGGACAGCACCTCCTCTCCCTCCAGGCTGCGGAGGCAGCCAGTGCCTCTGCTGGGCTGCTCTGCACCGTGGACTCGGGATCCCTTTGCTGCAGTGTCCTGTCGGTGGTAGGTGGGCTCAGGTGGTCTTGCAGGGGCGGAAGAGCTTCTTCATAGCTGGACGCTTGTCTCTGAGAAGTGGGTTAATTAGGCCGGGAGACTAAGCTTCCCCAGCTGTTCGTTACTGGGAACGAACTCCTAATTGCACGTGTACCAGATTCTTTCTGGGAAGGCTGTACTGAACGCACAGGCAGCCCAGGGGTCCCCAGGTCCCTGGCCCGGCTCAGTTCGGGCCATGCACTCCAGTAGGGCCCAAGGCGGGTGACTCCTCCTCCTTGGGAGCTGGGATCATGCTGGGAGCTTAGATTACATTTAAATTGCCATTTGCATTTTCCAATCAATACGCGACTTTACAATTAAGTTTGGTGTTAAAATTCTTAGCAAAAAGTGAGTGGAAGGGAGATTTGTGGAGTAAACGAGTCCTTTGGGGGCCATCGCTGCTCCCTGCTTCATTACGCTGCATATTGCTGCTGCTGCTTTTACTGTGCACCACCACGAGCCGAACACAGCACAGGCACTCGCGCTGGCCGACGCGATGCTGGGAGAGAAAGGAAAAGTGGGAGAGGGAGAGGGTTGGGCTCTCTTCCCTTTCGTCTCTGGCAGCTTCTTCCGTTTGTGCACGACTTCCACACTTGTGGGAAGAAACTTGTGGAAGAGTTATTTCTTGTAAATCTTTCCACGAGAAGCAGAGGGAGCTTGAGGTGTGGCAGCGCGTGCCGGCGCAGGGGTCTCGGCAGACCGGGGGGGCCCGTCCAGGAGGCGCTGGGGTGCGTGCCCAGGAGCGGAGCGCGCTGAGGACGTGCGGTGGGGGGATGAGTCTGGCCGTGGGGATGCGCCTGCCTCGGGCCCGTTCTCCGGCCTGTCAGCTGCCTTTGTCCCTCCGTGCCACTTCTCACTTTGCTCTGAGCTGCTGGGGGGGCTTTCCTCCAGGAAAACCAGAGTTCTCTGGATGCTGCTGGGCCAAACCTCCACGTTCTGCCATCAAAAAAGAAATTGGGCTACAGAGTTGTAACCTTGATGCTGTCAGCACAGCCACGCCATTAAAACCTGGAGTCCTCTCGGCTTCTGTCCCCTGCCTCTTAATCTCCAGTACAGCAGCAAACAACAAGTCTAACTGAGCTCTATCCCTCGATTCAGCTGTTTCTTGCAAATGTTTGGCCTTAAGGGCCCCTTCCCCTCCCCCCATTTTATTAGATGTTTACTTAGAATGTGTAGTTGCTCCCAATTTTGGACTCTCGTGCCTTCTGGCTTGAAAAAAAATGGGCTGCCAGTGCTCGATTCTGTTTCCAGGTCTGGTTTTGCTTGTGTTTCAATTTGGGAAGTTCCAGATTTGTAGCTGAACTAACTGCAGCTGAACTCTTCTCTGCAGACAACACATTTTTGGGGCTTGATAGAAGATGCAGCAGCCTGAAAGTGTTGAAGTAGGTATTTTGTAGCACCAAGGTGCATCAAGTCAAAGACACGTCAAGGAGAGGAGAGGCAGCCGGAGTTGTCGTTCTGCGGTGTGTGTTGGCAGGTCAGGCTGAGGAAGAGGGCCAGGTTTAAGGCCAGGAGGGATCATTATGCCCAGAAGCCAGAGAATTTCACCCAGTGACTTTGAGCCAAATTTGTAACTTCAGCCTGGTCTGGAGCAGACTTGTTTGAAAGATGCCAAACGTTCTCAAGCCCACTAGTTATCTAGATTAGCTGGTGTAATATTAAACTGTCGCTATACGTGAGGAGGAACAGTCATTTTCATACGCCCTGTGGGAAGTGTGTGGCACAGCAGCGGTGCTGGAGAAGACGGTTCTGGGGAGGCCAGAACCGGAGCAGAGCCAGCTGCGTGCTGACGTTGCGAAGGCTCAGGCACCGCTCGCTGCACGTGACAGAGTACGAGAAGCAGTCTTTCCTCTGGCACGGTACGGCCCCAAGCGGGCTGCCCTGTCCCGGTCAGGACACTGCCCTTTGAGCTCTGGGACAGCTGGAGACTCTCTGGGGCGAGCGGGTTGGTGTTCTCAGAGGCACATTCCGCAATGGGGGAGCAACAAATTTGGGACCGTGAGTCCAGGGCGGGGAGAGTGCACGGGGGCATCGTCGCAGTCTTCAGACAGCGTGAAAGGCGGCTGCAGGGGTCCGGGGCCGCTCTGCGTGGTCGCCACGACAGGACAAGTGCTGCGCTGCCCTTTCACCGCGGCGGTGCGGGAAGCACCAGGATCCGATCTCCGTCAGGGAGGAGCACCGTCTGCATCGCTGGCGGTTTTTATGAGGAGGTTGGAGTGACGTGGGTACGCCTGAGCCTGCCCCAGGGAGGGATGTGGCGAGGTGACCTCTCAGCTCTCTTCCAGCTCTGCTTTGCAGCGGTAATCTCGCCGCTGGAGGTAATACCGTCTGCCTTGTCCGACCTGACAGCCCACTGCCGGGTGGAGCTACCTTCCTACGCGAACACCGGGAGCTCGGGCACCGTTTGGCGATGGTGCTCTCCAGCCCAGAGAGCCCCCCCAGCCGGGGGGTCTGTCAGTCTGTCCAGGGGCAGGACCGTGCATGAGCCGTGCTGAAGCCCGTGCTGTTCTCGGGATCCCGGTTCGGCAAGTGGCGGGAGGCAGTTTGTGACCGTGACCGGTCACCGCAGTGGTTCGCCCTGTGCGCTTTCTGTGTTGCTGTCAGGTTTCCTGGGTTTGTGTTCTTTGAGCTCGTTTGGGGAAGGCGTTGATGAAATGGGTGTGAATCAAATGCAGGTTGGCTGGAGCTCTATACAGGTACTTCTGTTGGACATGGATTTGCCGTTTATGGTTATGGTTGCTTTCGTTTATGACTATATTTTGAGACCTTTCACTTGACCGGTTTTTGCTCCATAAATTAATGGCTTTATGGATTTTGTACAGTGGTTTTTAAAGGTGTGTGCTGCTCAGTTAAAACCCTGACAGAAACCAGAAGTGCTGTGTCAGCGCGGTTACCGTTGTCATCAGATAGTGCCATCTTACCAAAAGCAGGATCAGACTTCTCTGATGACCTGTTTCTGCGTTGGTTGGCATTAGTTGCGCTGTTGTCCTCTCGTTCTTCGCTGATCACTTCTTGCGGTGGCTTTTCCTCAGTTTTGCCCAGCGTAAGCGTCCGCCTAGGTGGCCCTAATTACAAGGGTCATTGCTTTTCCCCTTGCAGATCTTGGCAAAGCCTGAGCTTTCGGACTGCTGCTGTGTTCCAAGGCGTGTTAAAACCGGCACCTTTTAACCACTGCCGAGTGAGCTCTTCAGCTGATTCTCGCAGAGCTCTGGAAGGCAAGGGATCAGATCCTGCCACCAGCACGGCTCGGCTTTTGCTGCTCTGTTTTGACTTTCCTTGCCTTGCAGGAGCAGGAGGCGTTTCCTCTTCTCACTGTTTGCTTCCCAAGTACTGAACATAAGCGGCCATGGAGCACTTCTGCCTTTTCTGCATCATTTACCACCGATTTCATGGTCACGTCTGGCAGCGTTGTTACCCCAGCGTGTGCCAAACCCTACAACTTTTTGTTGTGTTTTTCCATCATGCAGGCACAGCAGCCTCAGTCTCTAGGCAGTGGGACGAGGCCCCCAAATATGCCGAGGCTGGCAGGACAGAGACTTTCTGTCCAGGTTTTTGAGGAGGTGCTGGCCTGGAGCCCAGATTTTTGCCACATTGGGAACAGCCAGTCTGGATGTCTGTCCAGACAGTGCTTTCGGAGGGCCTGGGCCTGACAGTTGGTAGATCCAGCTTTTTCCCAGACTCTTATTCATTCGTACTTTTGTCCCCCGTGCCGTCCTTTCCTCCCTGCCAGCAGAACACTTGATGTTCTCTCCTTGGTCCCTGCTCCACAGCCCTTGTGCCTGGCTTCTTGCCCCGTATTCCTTCTCTCTCTCCACCTCTGCCTTACCTGGAGCATGATGAATTGCTGCTAGAAGCAGATTTCCTGGGGAGGCAGAACTGGATGGGGAGAGGGTGAGGAGGGTCCAAGCTCTGCATGTTGGTTCAGATCGATGGAAGTTCGGGGTTAGTTCTGGGTTGGAGTGGTGGGTAGAGGGAGCTTTGGGGGGTGTGAGCACAGTCATTTTCAGGCCCTGGGAGTGTGCTGTGCCTGAAGACCACGGGATGGGTCTCATGTAAAATCCTGATGGGGAAAGGAGGTGAACCAACCCCTGAACTGCCCAGGATCTGCACTACCTCTTGAAATGTCTCCCCAGCTCCATTTGTTTGACATCTCTTCAGAAAGAATTGGAAGCAGGCAAGATAATACGTGTCCTTTGTGAGACCTGTATCTTGGAGCGTTGTTCCATTGATTCGCCCCTGCCTGTCCCAAATTGTCCTTGCCTTGACCATCCCTCTGGCCGTGCTTTTGGTGATGGAACAAGGTCTAGGAGCACTGTGGTAACAGAGCAAGCAGCGTTGGTTGGTGATGAGGTTAGCTTCTGCTATGTGAAGAGTTGCCCAGAGGGAGTGGTTTGGGACAGCGGAGTGTGTGATAGGTCCCTCAGGGGATTTGGGCATCAGTACTGGCATGTGGAGACCCTCGTCTCTGAGAATGGGGAGACATGCTGGGGTTGGTGAGGAAAGGGGTGCAGGGAAAAGGCTGTTGGGAAGGCCAGCCCAGAAGATGTTTTCTTGAGTCTTGATCTTCATGTCTCTTCAAAGACCGGTCTCCTACCACGGGCAATGTTGGAGCTGAGCGGGAGGTGCCTGAGCCAAACAAGGTCTGAGACTCTTGACACTTCTCTTTTAGGGCATTCTTCTCAAACGCAGTGGCAAGTCTCTGAACAAGGAGTGGAAGAAGAAGTACGTGACGCTGTGTGACAACGGAGTCCTCACCTACCACCCCAGCCTGCATGTGAGTACTGTGCTGGGCTGGGTAGAGGAGCGGGGTGGGACGGCGCAGTGCCCTCCTTCATGCTACGGCTCCTCCTGCGGGTCCTCTGGCAGGTGTCGCAGTCGCAGCGAAGGGTTTGGCAGCAGATGGAGGCCCCAGTCTCTGCCTGCGGCAGGGCCCTGCCCAAGAGGTGCAGCACTAGCCCTCAACAGGGCAGGCAGAGCTGTTTTGCACCAGGGTCTGGAGGGAACCTCTTCCCTCTCGTGAAGGCTGGCACTGCAGTGCCAGGCTGGGTGGGAAGAGCTGATAGGAACATGCTCAGCACAGAATTATGCGAAGTGCATCTTTCTTGTCTCTGTTTGCCTCGCTCAGCCCGTTAAAGCAGGGGTTGCTGCCTCCCTGCATCTGGGGTGAGGAGCAGGCGGAGAACTCCTTGCAGCCACGGCTGATGGTGCCATTTGGGTGTGGAATAATTTTCCTGGCTGCTAGGTATTGGGTAATGGAGATGAGGTGCCTGTGCAGAGCCTGCCGAGCTGAGCTGTCACTCGATGCATCTCTGATCCTCTTCACTGCTTGGCTCAGGCACACAGCTGCCTCCCCATCCATCTCTGTCGCCTCCCCACTGTGGGGCTAATGACTTCTTCCCCATTCCCTCTTGAGCACAGTTTGCTGCTGAGACAGAGCCACGGACAGACACACCTGTGACACGGAGGCCACAGCACCCTCCGCAGAGGGGACGTGCTGCAGCAGGACGGCCGGGGAGCGCGGGGCAGAGCCTGGGCGCGGGGTGGTTTAGGGGGTGCTGGGGCGCTCTGTGGGGCTGAAGGGAGAAGAGCAAGGTGTTGCAGCTCCTGCTCTCCCTGAATGCTCCCAGGACCCCAGTTTGTCCCCGATCTCATCAGACACACGGGTGTTGGAGTGCCCTGAGCCTCAGAGTCTTTCTCCTCATTTCTAACCCTGTGTCTCTAACTCTCGGGCTCGCAATGCTCAGCTGTCCAGCTCCTGAGCTGCCGAGCCTTTTAACCCCCCTGTCCTTACACTGGAAAGGCAGTCATTGCGTTTCCCATCCTTAATTTGTGGGAGCTTTGAGAACAGCATGGGTTTTTTCTTGCAGTGTTTCAACCCTGTGGTTCTGCAGTTTCCTAACTTCGTAACCCAATTTTTTGTTCTTTATAGAACCAAACTGTGAGGGAGGTGCTGCTGCTGCTGCCTGCTCTGCGTGTGTGCTCACACGCGTGTGTGGGCTTATCACATTTCTGTCGGAGACATCGTAGGCCGTTACTACAATCAGCTGTAGAGGCAGAGTAATTTCTGGGATGTTTTTAACCGATCTCAGATGCTGCTGTTACACACTAGGTTTCTCTCCTTTTTGCACCATTTCTTCCTCAGGGGGTGATCTAGATTGATGTCACTTGCTTTCCTTACTGCACTTCTTCAGCGTTTCATTTCATTACCGTGTTGCCCCAAGCAAAAATCTGGTTTGCATCCGCCTGGTGCTACTGGTGATCCACAGCCCATTGCTAAGAAAGGTGCAAGATGGGCCTCTCCTCCCCTCGGTTTCACCGAAAGCTTTGAACCGTGCCCCCAAGATAGGTGTTGTATTGCCCTCTGGGTTTACCTAGGGCAAGGACTAATTACATGTGGTCACAGCATGCGGAGCTGCTTGCTGCCCGGCTCTGGCTCCTGCAGGGGTGGGGGTCTGAGAACTGGGGAGAAGAGCCACAACACCCACCATCGTGTTGCCTTTTATTACTGCGATGCTGACAACGGCTTTGGTGAGCAGTGTGCTGTTCTGGTTAGCAAAGGCCCCTGTGCCTTGCCTTGCCTTGCCTTCCCTCTGGATGTCTGCTTGGAGGGGACAGGTGCAGGAAGGAAGCCTGGAGGAAGAGGTGGTCCAGAAGAGGATGTCCTGTTGTATCGTCTTCTCCCCATCTTCTCGAGTGAATCGGGAGATGCTGCAGTGTCTTTGTCACCGGGTTTGTCTCCCGTGGCAGGAAGCAGGTTCCCATACCCTTTCACAGGATGACACAAGCAGAGCACATTAGGGTTGAGCAGCCTAAGTTGTCCTAAGGGTCACTAACAAAACCTCTGTTCCTGAGGAAGGGCACATGCTTCTTTGTCACTTCCATTCGTGGCAGCAGCTCTCAGGCCAGCAGGGACGTGCTGAGGGCAGCTGCTGGCAAGAACAAGTATACAGATCTGTCGAGGAGACACTGGACATCCTGAGGTTCCTTCCTTGAGATGCGAAGTCCTAGCTTCTCCCCTGCCTCGCTCAGGGTGAGCCTGTCAATGCAGGCTCATGTCTGGGGGATGGCAGAATTCAGGGTGCAGCAGAGGGGTCCCTGAGGGCATGGTGGACACTGCGGGAAGAGGATCTTTCCCAGCCCCTGTCGGGATCTTCAAGCCCCAGAACATTTTTGTGCTGCTTTTGTGTTCCCAGTGGCTTTTCCTTGACGCGATTCAGGGCAATTCCTGCCTAGACTGCTCTTCTCTTGCATCTCTGCTGTGTTCTCTCCCTGTCCCTCTTGGGATGGGTGTAGGTGCCTCAGGGATCAGCATCTCTGCCGTTCTTCTTTTGCCTCCAGCAGACCTATCTGTCCCCAACACATCTGTGTGCCATCAGATGAAAACTACTGCATGGCTCTGGCTGGGGCATGGTTCTGATTTCGCCAACCACATGCTTCCTGGTGGGGCTGTTTGTCTGCTTTTGGGTGTTTATCACTCAGCCTGTTTCTGGATTTGTATCTTGGCACCTCCAGCCCCTCTTTGAAGTTTCCTTGCTGGGGATCAGGCTCAAACTGTGGATCTGCAGTCACAGGCTGACAGAGAGCACTCCAGTGAGCTGGGTCGAGCCCGGGAGTCAAGTGTTGGGTGACTCCTCGATGGAAGCGTGTCTGCCTTGACTACCAGCCCGGACTGTGCTTGGGCCCCAGGCAGCTGCGCGTTCCTGCTCTGAGGTGCCACCTCTGCCTCCTCTCTGGAACCGTCGGCCGTTTCAGAGCCTTGGCAAGCAGGATGCCTGAAGTTGGAGCAGTGGGCAGCAGCTGTTGCTGAAGGCAGGAGTGCTTGGGGGTCTGATCCCTGGATTCAGCACAGCTTTCCTTGTTGCATCTGTAATTTTCTTACCTTTCAGTGAGCGTATTCAGTGACAGGAAAAGAACAAGTTCTGTGAAGAGACCGGTGCGGTTTCCTATCACTTTCCCAAAGCCTTGGAGAGTAAATGCTTCTGCTGGTGAGGAAGGCGTATGTGGTTCAGCCCAGCTTCACTGGCCAGGCTGTGCTGTGCTGCACAGAGCTAGAGAGAAAGCATCTCCCATTTTGCAGCCAGTGGAGCCATTCACACAATCACCTTCTGTTAATTCTATCTGCAACATCAATTAAATTGTTTGTAGAAACTAATTGAATGTGGCTTAATCACACATCTTAATAGCTTTCCACGCTTTGAACTCGTTGTTAATTCCAGTAATAAAATGAAATGAGAGAACTGGCTGGGTAATTAGCGAGGAGGCTTGGGAAGAAATTGCTGTTTTATAGCATGTAATAAAAGCAGTGCGCTGGTGACCGCTCTCTCCGGCAGGCAGCCGGCTACCGCGGCAATTGTGCTGAGTTAGGGAAAACCCTCCAGCCCCTCTGAGATTCCCTGCCCAGGGGTGCCATGAGGCTCCTGCCCCACTGGGAACAGCTTGGAGCAATGTTTGGTTGGACTGGTTATCTAGGAATTGCCCAGGGCACCAAAAGGTGTGTGCGTGTCGTCTGAGGTCAAGTCACCCAGAAGTTGGACACGCAGAAGGGTGTGCTGCCACACTGCCCCATCTCCTGGGTTTGCTGTGAGGACTGGATACCTGCACAGGGGTCTATGGAAAGAGAAGAGTTCAAACCAAGGTGCTGAGGTGCTGCTGAGAGATTGTAACCCTTGCAGGTAGTCACCTGAGACCACAGAGCATTGCCCGCGCAGCTCCCATTCACCCGCTTCTTGGAGCCAAGGACTGGGACAAGTTGCTCTTGGGCTGATCTTGTTTATGTCTTTGTATTCTTGGATTTGGGAGCAGTCAGGGACCAGTTCTGAGTTAATCTTTTTGGTGACCTCCTTGTGAACTGGAGCAAGCCCAAGCCTTCCTGCAGCAGCCGCAGTCTCACCCTGGACGGTGGCTGCTGCTCCTCTCCCAGTTGCGGTGCGCATTCCCAGCACGGAGAGCCAGGGGATGATGCACCCGTGTCACGATTCCTCCCAGAGTCTCTAGCTCAGCTTTCCATCCCCGCTCCCTCGAGGTCTGCCCAAGAGCAGGGCAGGGCAGTCCCCTCCGTGCCTCTCTCTGGAGATCACATTGGTCGGGTCTTCCCTTCTGGGGGCATGAGCCCAAGGAAGAGCCAGCCGCCTCGGAGAGGGTTAGGGGAGAGCTGCAGTGCCCTGTGGAGCGGGGAAGGCATGGAAGATGCGGGACAGGACACAGCTCTCAGGAGAGGCTAGAGGTCTGCAGCCTTAGTTTCACTGACAGATGAGATGCTGTTAAGAGACAGGACAGAATGATGTTAACAATCTGCACATGGAGTTTTTGGTCGTATAATAAATAGCCTACCAGAAGAAATGATGGAAGCACCAAGTTTTGAGTAATGTGAAGCTGTGCAGGTGAATGTACAAGGGAGTTGTGTTGTTTTGGGCTTGAATTAGCCTAGCTTGACCTGAGAGGGCATTTCCAGGTATCCCATTACTTTCACTGCACTGTGTTATATCATTAGCTGTTACAGCTGAGTGCTGTGATTAAGAAGACAACAGATGACAGAGAAGAAGGACTGCCTGCCACCTACATGCTCTTTTACTCCATCTAATCTCTGATGCTCAGCCAGGCTTTCACAAATGGGCTTGTCATGGCATCTGACTGCCCGTGGCAACGTCCTGATGTTCTTCGTGTCAGAGCTGGCTAGTTCTGGGCACTGAAAGTGAGACCTGGCACTTCTTGGGAGCCTGTCCTAAGCATGTCATGGGAAGAAGGCAGGCTGGAGTCAAGGCTTTGCGTCCGTATTGTCAGAAAGGGGCTGGCTGTGGACGCTGGGGAAGTCATAGGGTCTTTCACCTTTAGCCCACCTGACTTGAGACTTCAGTGCAGTGCAGGAGAAACCAGCATGTGATGAGGTCCCAGATCACCTCCAAGCTGCTGGCTGACCGTTTGTCTGTGAACCAGGTGCCGTGTGGATGAACCTGTCTGGGTTTTAGTTTGGATTATGGGGGTGAGAGGGGAGCTGAGAGCGGTGGGCCATGGCAGGGCTGATCCCTAACTGTTCTGCCTCTCTGCTGTAGGACTACATGCAGAACGTCCATGGGAAGGAGATCGATCTACTGAGAACTACAGTGAAGGTACCAGGCAAGCGGCTACCCAGGGCAACAACGGCAGCAGCACCCAGCGCTAGTCCCAAAGCCAACGGGCTTGCGAAGGAGAGGAGTAGCACGCAGCTGACGGGAGGCACAGGTAAGCGGTGGTGTGGGTGCCATCCTTCCTTCCAGCGCATCAGCACGGCTTTGTTTTGCTGAGCCGGAAGCAAAAAAGCTGTTGTGGAGTTTTTTGCTTTCACTGCAAGTGCCTTCGGAGGGGGTTGGCGTTTCTGTGCGGGTCTCAGGTCAGCTCCTGTTGAGACGTGATGCTGGGTAGTGTCTGGGACAACAGAAAGAGCAGAAGGGCTTTAACTGGTGCCATGGACTCCCTGAGGAAACTCTTGAGTCTGATGAGTTGCTGTGCATGGGGGAAGCTGATGCTCCCCAAAACAAAGGGTATCTCAACCAGGGTGTCTCTTGATCTCTGGCGGCTTCTCTTGTATTTCTTTCCTTTTTTGTGGCCCCCTTTTTTCTCCTCACTTTCCCCTGGAGAAATAGTAATGCGGGGGGCTTGTTTTGTGATTATTGTTCTTCTGTGCGCACATTCGAGAGGCACAGGCGCCACAGAGAGTGGTGAGAGGAGGTGAGGTTGGGAGGCTCTCTGGTTTCTCATGGAGTCCATGCCACACTGCTTACTGCTGCTCCTGCCCCAGGGAAGCTGTTGAACTTGGAGCTTTCCTGCCCAGGTTAGGGAATGGGATGTGCTGCCATCGCTGTGTTCATGTGATAAGCCGTTCTGAACCCAAACTGCTGTTTCTGTAGAGTCAGATTTAGGCTGCAGAGCGGATAAAATGCCAGCGAATGATTGCAGTTACTGTCTTTTTGACCAAGGATGTGCAACTCTGCCTGTTTTCTGCCACGGCTCTCCACTGTACGCTGTCATTTCTCCACCACCACTGTACACCCTTAGGTAACCATTCCTGCCTTTGTACAGAGGCACTTCTCAGGCTGCATTTGGAGGGTGCTTTGTCTGAGTTCCTACTTAGAGAAGGTTATCAGAGCTCTAGGAAGAATTCAAAGACAAGCCACAGAAAAGCTTATGTTGATGTCAAACCAAATGCTCACGTAACCCCGTATCCTGCTTTCAACAGTCATCTCAGTCCCGTTGGGCTGCCAAGAGCAGATTGAGATGTGACTTGATTACTGATTACTGCTGCTTGGAACACCAGCGCCTAGAAGTGAGTGCTGCGTGAGGCCTTTCAGTCTGGTTGACAAAGCTGGAGGAGACGCAGTGCGTGGAGGCTGAAGTTAGAGCAATTTAGACTTGAGAGGAGATGTAGTTTCCTAGCAGGGAGGGTAATTAAATGTTGGAATAGTTTATCTGGAGAGCTGGTGGACTTAGCACTGCTTGAAGCCTTTAAAATGAGATTAGTTATCTTTCTACAAGATATGCTTTAATCCAGCTCATGTGTGTGTCGCCGCGTGCACGTGTGCAGGGGCTCAAACCGGGTGGATACGAGGGGCTTTTCTCACGTAGAAATCTGTGTGTTCGAGATCCCCTGTTCACCGCCTTCTCTCTGGGCCCCTGAGCGGAGCAGCACTACTGTGCTACCCAGAGCCCATGCGTCAGCATGGGGCTCAGCATTAAGACAGCAGCCTTAATCAGATTTTATGTCTTGGCTTTGGGTGGTTGTCCGCATTGGTTTTTTTCTCCTGGTACACAAATGGTAAGATGTTTTCTGAGGGATTTTTTCAACTCACTCTGATGCCTCCAAGACTGATTACAGCTGACGATGCAGTCGTCACGGTAAGTGCACTGACATGATAAAAATCCTCTGAGGTGACTTGCTCGTATCTCTGTGTGATGCAGAGCACTGGATTTGGGGTTGGTAAAGAATCCACCCTGCTTCAAATTAGCGGGGACTTCGCAGTTTTGCTGCCTTTGGGGCTAGGGATGGGATTGTTACTGGGGCACGCTGGGCATCTCTCATCTAATACATACTTTGGGCAGCTGGAGAGGGAGCACCTCAAATTTGCAGTTCTCTGCCAGTGAACAAGTTAATCTTCAGAGGACACGAGCTTTGGAGACCTGAATGATTACACCAGGAGTGTCCGGGTAAAACGACATGCCCTGTGTTTAGAGTTCAGAGCAGGTGGCCCATGGTCTCTTTGTGACCTGAGCTCCGCCAAAGTGAGTGAGTGTGCTAATTAGTGTCCACTACATGCACAGTCCTTACCCAGGGGCAAGAAAAGAAGTAGTAGATAAAGGGGAGGTGGAGAAAAAGAGATAAAATATCTCACGCTGCCCTGTATGTAGGTAAAGTACACATGTGCAGCAGTCTGGTGATGATTCAAAATAACCTCCAGAGTAGGTACAGACGGTACAACTTGGAGCTAAATAAAGTAAGAATGAGGAAGGAGCTTGTATTTGTGAATCCCGTGGGCCTCTGAGCTCGATGGACGATTGTACTCTGGTATTTAAACCATTGAGGAAGGCAACTTCACTGTAGTCAGAGTTGGTTTTACTTTAGGTTGGTCCCATTGTAAACCCTGTTTTCAGAGGCACAGAATGCTGTCAGGCTTTGCAGCTGCCTTATGTCCACCTAAGGCTTACTTTTTGTGGAACATAAATGCACATGTGATGTCGTACATGCCCAGGGAGGCTGTGCAGTCTCCCTCCTCAGAGATACCAAAAAGTGTCCAGACACAGTCCAGGGCAACTGGCTCTGGGTGGCCCTGCTTGAGCAGAGGTTGGACAGGACGACCTCCAGAGGTCCCTTCCAACCTCAGCCGTGCTGGGGTTCTGTATGCGTTTTGTCAGTATTAAAAATTTGTCTCCCAAGAGCTATAAATCTTCAGAGATTTGATGCAAAGATTGCCTAGAAGCAGAAGTTTTGTCCTCAGTTAGAAAGGTTTTTTTCTTTATCCTTTGGAAAATACATTGGGATTTGATCAAAGTTTTGGGAGTTCATGGCCAAAAGCTCTGGAACATCTAATCTCCTCCTGGGCTGTCAAGAGCTCGGGTTCTGCTTTTCTGTGATATTTTTTCTGCACTTTCCAACTGTGGTGTTTTCCTAACCGTTATTCTTCTATGAAATTTTACTGGTAAAGAGACTGTCCAGAGGCAGAATCGTATCTGAGATCAAGCACAGGTTCTGTTAGGAGGCTTAGAGCTGACCAAATGCACATAACCAGTATTAGTACAACATTTGTGGCTGAGCCCTAAGTCAAGCCCTTCAACGT